GAAGTAATTTACCTAATTTATGGGGAAATTCTATAAATCAGCTGCATTCCATGATAGGACAATTGAAGCTTGTGACATTGGTAATTGACAACGAGAGAAACACAGGAAGATATTGATTATGTTAATAATGACTTAATTTGCATAATTAATGAGAAGGTTTTATAATTATGTAATGATAACTGCCTGGAATTTCATACTTGTGGTATTTGAAAGTTTAGTTGAGGTGAACATCATTAAACATAATTTATTCAAATCAGGACCTCATTTGCATAATTTATTAGGAAATGCTAGAATGCATTGTTTGTTAATATAAGACTGTCTTTTGGTTGAGATTATGATAAAATGATATAATTCATGAAAATTAGGTTCCTATTTCTTAAATCAGGGGGGAATAATCTAATCTATAATTTGTCAGTCATAAAGATTAACATCATTTGGCGAAGGTATGAGATCGGGGAACTCTAGTTACTTTTGCACTCACATGTGTACAGTGACTGTATGTGCCATAATCACGGCAGGCATGCAATTTTTACCTTCGCCAGGAAGGTTATGTTTTCAGGGGCGTTCGTGTATGTGTGTGTGTGTGTGTGTGTGTGTGTGTGTCTGTCTGTCTGTAAACACGATAACTTGAGAAGGCCTTGATGGATTGTCTTGATACTTGGTAGGTGGGTAGGTCTTGATGAGACCTCAAAATGATTAGATTTTGGACCCCCTAGCGGCTGGTTATGGTACTGCAGCTGAACTTCCGGTTTTGATATCTCATGATCTAGACATGCTGTGGTGATGAAATTTAGATGGTAGGTAGCTCTTGTGCTGGGAAAGAAGTGACATGAGTTTAGGCCCCCTATCAGCTTGCTCTGGAACTGCAGGGATAAATTCTTGAAAATATTCAAAAGGGGATAACTCAAGAACCGGTTGACGGATCGTCGTGATTTTTGGTATGTAGCTAGCTTACGTGATGCTTAATATAATTATGTGACAATTATGCAAATATGGATGTAATTTGCATAATTTATAGGGAAATTCTATAAATCAGCTGCATTCCATGACAGGACAATTGAAGCTTGTGACATTGGTAATTGACAACGAGAGAAACACAGGAAGATGTTGATTATGTTAATAATGACTTAATTTGCATAACTAATTAGAAAATTTTATAATTATGTAATGATAACTGCCTGGAATTTCATACTTGTGGTATTTGAAAGTTAAATTGAGGTGAACATCATTAAACATAATTTATTCAAATCAGGACCTCATTTGCATAATTTATTAGGAAATGCTAGAATGCATTGTTTGTTAATATAAGACTGTCTTTTGGTTGAGATTATGATAAAATGATATAATTCATGAAAATTAGGTTCCCATTTCTTAAATCAGGGGGGAATAATCTAATCTAAACTTTGTCAGTCATAAAGATTAACATCATTTGGCGAAGGTATGAGATCGGGGAACTCTAGTTTTCTACTATGTTTGTATAGAATGATTTAACCTGAACTTCACTTTTGTTTGATTACCTTTAGCTACCACAGTCTTAGTTTGTCAACAATGTCTGGCTGCATCTAAAGATTTTATTGTGATCACTCCAAAGTCTTTAGAAGTCAGTCATATGTGTGATATTACACTTTTTTGTTCAGTATTAAAGCAGAATTATTTTTGGATTCTCAGTAGTACTAGTATAATCTTTCTGATAGTACATGTAAATGGATTTTGTATCTAGAATGCAGTAGCAGGAGTTGTGGTATGATTTTTGTCTCCAAAATCCAAACATTTGCTAATCTGAAACTGTCCCACCAGGACCATGTATAACTACTATTTCGTGGAGCGTATGGACCTGTTCGGTCAGATGATAGGGTTACCTGGCCCCAAGATTATCCACTGGCTCATTTGCAACAGGATCTCAAAGATGGTCAGTATTTTTTGTTCTCACTGTAAAATTGACAGAAGTGTCTAATTGATGTAAGTACATGTAAGTCTCATTGAATTCCCAAAAGAATGTAATCACTCTTATGTTATATATACATGTTGCTAAGTTGACATTCATTTCTGCAAGATGAAACATGCCACTTGTTTATGTTGTGACTCATACTGTTGAATGGAATCTATCCATTTTGTGTATTGTGCATGTCTCCTGTTCTTGGTGCAGATGCGGGACAAGTTGTCCCACCAGGGCATTGGCCGTCACAGTAACACAGAAGTGTACCAGCTGGGTAACGCTGACATCAGGGCACTCTCCACACTGCTGGGAGACAAACCATTCCTCATGGGGAGCAAGCCTACCACTGTGAGGGCTGAGTATTCAGGGAATAACCAACCCTAGCATAGTAATACAGAATAATGTAGTTCCTGAAACAAATACATGTATGTTCATTTGGGAAGTTAAAGGTTTAGTCATGATGAGGGGCCTTAGTCAAAAGATGCATTATGCACTTTTCTCGCTGTTCTTCAGAATTGCTGAAACTATGTAATCCACTCCTATGGATTACATAGGATGTCAACATTGTTACTGTTCATCCAGCATTTAACCAGTCATGACCAAACACATATTGATGGCCTTCACAGATGATTCTGTGAATGCTGGACACTGTAACATGTTCCTTGTACCCCTCTTTCCTCCCAGGTTGATGCTTCAGTGTTTGCACACCTGGCATGGTTGGTTTACCTGCAGCTGCCGTCACCTCACAGGCAGGTCATCGTCAACTCCTGCAGCAACCTGCTGAACTACTGCGACAGGATGAAGGACCAGTTCTACCCAGACTGGGCACAGCTATGCGCTGAGGGGAAGTGAGGCACCGTGGGGACGTGGACTCCTCTCTTACAGTGAGATGGATTCGACAGGAAGACCAGTAAAGGGAATAATAATAAAACATACATCTATGTACCTGTTTCCAACTAAAAGGCTAAAGGAAACTACATTTGCACCAATAATGACTGCAGTGTTGTGGAAAGGCTGATGTCTTTTAGCCAAATCATATCTTCACAGTGTTAAGGACTGCAAAGATACAGATACATGTATTACTGTGCTGCTCTATAGCAAGGAAAAATAACATTGATACATTTGTGGAAAATTATAACTTGTGCAGGTAGAGGGCTGAAGGAAAGGCCCTCAGTTGTATCCTGTAACTTGTACAGGGACCACAAATTTACTAATGCTGCTTTGAAGATGATTTGCCATGTTACTATTGTTAGAGTGAAGGTTTGGTAGTGTATCCATGTATGAAGGATTCTTCAGTTAACGTGACTTTTGCAAAGTAACACTGCATAGTGCAGACTGTGCCATGCTACTATGATATTATCATAATCTGTTCTTTTTGCATTAAGTGCTAGAGACCTGTCCTGATCTTCTGTTGGAATGTACCCCTTTGAGGATGTCTAACAAACTTGTGGTGTAATATTCCAACTATGTGATCACAAAAATGTGTAGTCTTTTGATCTTGTCATACATGTACCTGTAAAATTGCTATGCAAATGAAAGCATAAGATTTAACAACTTGGATTGGAGTATTATTTATGTGCTGTGGTGCTTAATTTACAAAGACAAGAGACAGAAACTAGTTGGTTGGTAAATATCATGTCCTCTATGATGTTTATCACAGCTTTCACTTATAGAGAGGTACAGATGGGTGCAAAACCCCAGGCATGCACTGATGATACCTGATGACATTTGGCACTATACACACCTTGCATCAAAATATACAAATACTACACGTATGTACATAAAACGCAGTTCAGGAAAAAGCAGAACACTTAAAAACAATGAAATGCAAAGGAATTAATCCATTCAGTAATGTGCCCAATAAAAGATATACAAAATGTACATAGCCTACAGCAATGGCCTTCATATGTCGAGAATCTGCAGTGAGCATCCTACTAGTATTCAGTGCAGTGTTGCTACAAATAGCAAGGTGGCTCTTATCCAGATCCAGTCCCTTTTTATTGCTATTGATCAGACAGTATTGTTATTGTGCACATGCTATTCATCTGACCTATCCTAACTCCAACAGGTGGGATATCGTGGTCAGAAATAACAATTTCCTAACTGCAGAAAAATTGGAAAATGCAAGGAAAGGTCATTGAAATTGCATCATAGGGTGTATAAGTGGCAACATCATCCTATTACATTAGGTTTAACTTTCCCACTGTAAAATTATACTATACAATATCTACCTTATGAATATATGTTTGACCATATAGTGTACATAATTACAGTCATTGTCACTTTCATCCATTACTTAAACTCATTCTGTACAGATATTGCAGCTTAACTTTCTGAAATCTTCATTTTCTAAACTGACATGTCAGTCATTACCTACAGGATCTACAAAACTATCCTAATAACTACTACATGTACTAATATATGTAAATCAGTACCTTTTCCAATGTCTCCTACTACTTACAAAGAAAAATTGTTATTAACTTGGAAAAGGAAGACTTTTGAACTGACATGTACATGTTTTAAAGGGGTTTGGCCTGAGAAGATACAACATGTAGATCAGAAATAAAGAAATTACCTTATTCACTTAAATATATCTATTCTTTCCATTTTTACTGGATGAAATAAGTGAATAAATAGTCTAGCTTGACAAGTAAGGCAACTCCATCTTTCCTTAGTTTGTATGTACATGGCTCTTTCCCCACTTCTTAAAAAGGAAACCACATCACTAACCTCTTCAGATTGTTTTGCCTAAATCATGCACAACACAAGCACCACTAACACCTTTCATGTTTAACACTGTCCTTTAGAAACATTTCCTTACCTTAAACTGTAAGTACCATGGGGTGATTGATGTTCTGCTGCTATATGCATGACTAATGATGAAAGTACCCATTAATTGTTCTCATCAATATATTGGGTTTGTGAACATAAGAAAGTTGTACATGTACAAGAGAAGTCACAAGTGTTTCTTCCTATGTGAGACATTACAGGTGATGATGACTTAGTGTGAGAGCTACAGGAATTCCATACCTTACAGCATGCCAGGACCAGCATCATATGGGTAGTGATGTTTGTTTGACAGTCTTTTCCAGGGCACAGCATGTTCACATCTACACTACCTATCTACTGTCTCCATCCCCTCTGCTAAGGTTCTGTCCCGTCTTCTTCCCCCGGCTGGGATGATAACCTTTCAATTCTCCGTCTCCGAATTTCGTTTGCATCTGTTTCAGGAGGCACCTCTGTGTCCTCCGGGATAAGTGTCTCTGTTGGAGGGGTGAATCCCACTGCACCTTCCAGCTCACTTAGATCTAGATAAAGGTAGATCAACATACATGGTTATGATTTAAAATAAGTTTTTCTAATGCTCTAAGATTCTCTAAGGTTTCACACAAATACAGACATTAACTGCAAGCATAGGATGTACACAATCAACTGGCAATACAATGTTTGGTGCATAGAGAAATTATTTTGTAAAGTTAATTCTCGTTCCACAAGGCTGAGATAAAGTAAGTGGATCTGATCCTGAATAATTCAATGCACTAGATATTATTCAGAAATACACATACCTCCTGACTCTTCCTGACTCTCTCCTGTTGTGGGCTTCTGCTCTGGGCTGCTAGGGGTCTCTTCTCGTGGTGACATCTTACTTGAGAGGACATTGGTGACCTCTGTAGTGTCTGCAGGCTGGGTAGTGGTAGCTGTGGGCACAGGGGTGGAACCTTGGCCTGCAGTGGTGGCAGCTACAGGACTTCTAAGGACAGCAGACAGAGATGAGTTACAGGAGAATACATCACATGTGGCACTGTGTCAAGGACTGCAAAAACAGTATTCTATAATACATTTGGCCTGGGGACACTTTAAATAAAATATCAACCCAGTATTTCTGGGTATACACAGATCATCTCATTTCCATAACATTTGTAGAAATGAGTGCAATACTGACCCCAGCGTGGCCATGAGGGAGGTGTACTGTTGCATCTGCACCATGGCGGCATCCAGCAGGGTCTGTATGCTGCGCAGACACTCCACCCGAGCCACCAGGTGCTGCCGCTCCTGGCCCTCCATCGCTCGCAGCTCCTCCTCAGTCATACCTGAGTAGTTAGGGGAAGGCATGGGCGGTGGGACTGGAACAGAGACAACATTACTATGTAAGATTCATGGAGTTATCACAGCTTACTCAATCAATAGTGCAAACTGATGAAAATATGCCACAGCATGGAGAGATGTTGAAGTCCTCATTATGCCTTTTCTTTCAATTATGCCATATCAAAGGAGACATTACAGGTTAAAGTGCTTCCCTTACCAAATGGTGGTGGCACAAAGAACCCAGGTGGCATCATGAAAGGTGGAGGAAGGCCAGGCATTGGTGCGCCATGTGGAGGGGGAGGGGGGAACGGTGGTAGTCCTGCTACTGTAGGGAGGGGGCTGCCTGGTGGACCTGTTGTCATGGCAGGTGCTGTAGAGCCAGGTGCTGCAGCTGTAGCAGAGATCAATATTGGATAAGGACTTAAGCTGGCTAACAAACAAGTATACTCATCAAAGATTGTGAAGACTGTACACACAAATTTTGTGGTGTTTGTAATATCTTTGCTGTACTTACAAGAATTTTTAGAACCCTTGAAATGAATAAAGGCCTGCTGGAGAGCAATTGTTATTTTTGTCCTGGTAAGAGCTGCAATTGTATGGATTTCTCCATGTTTACAGGATATAGATATGCTGTAGTTGCTCACACATCAAGCCTAGCTTACCTGCAGGTTGTGTAGCAGCAGTGGTTGAAGCAGCAGCCTGGGATGTTCCAGCAGCAGGTGGTGTCTGGGGAGGGACCTGGGGCACCTGTCCTGGGTGCACATGGGGAGGTGGCCACATGGGAAATCCAGGAAAAACAGGGGGAACTGCAAGAACAAGAAACATTATGCGTGCTTGAGCCAGTCATTCATTTCTGCAATTCCATCAAGAGTTCAACGGTGTGGAGGGCATTCATATCACAGTTTGTTCAGTTTTTTAAATAGATGGAAAATAGGCACAGGAAAAAGACTTAGAGGTACATGTAGTGCCTACTAAAAACAACAGCAAATGTTACAATGGCACTTGGGTTGACCTAATGACTCACTCTGCTGTGGAGGCTGAGGTGCTGGTGGTGGCTGCGGCGTGGGGTTCTGCTGCGGTGGGGGAGCCCGCAGGACGTCCATCCGGCAGGTGGGACAGGTCTGCTGGCGCTGGAACCACGAGCGCAGACACGACGTGTGGAAGATGTGGTTACAGGGCAGCTTCTTACTGGCCGTCACCATCTCCTCACGGCAGATGATACACACGTTATCAGCCTGGGCAAGCTCCTCTGGGGTGGCATCTGGGTAACTGGGGGGAGGGGGGAGGGAAAGAGACACAGAGTTATTTCATGTACACTATGTGACATGGAGAAAATATCCACCAACTGAATCTAGTGAAAGTAAAACAAAATGTCAATGTCTATAGCTTAGATCTACAACTTATTGTTCATCTTACCAGCTAAATTTTTTCAAAAGTTCTGAATCTCAGATTTACTTACAGTGTGTTCATGTTCCTGATGGCTCGTCTGGACATGATGACATCATTGACAGCCTTCTTGAAAGCTCTGTAAAACCAACAATTCACAGTAAGTATCAGCTCTAATATGTTATTTTGGTATACCAGTACAAAATGTACTTATGCAATTACAGGCTCTGTCAACTGTGATCAAACATAAGCAGTGCAAGTACTAAAGTTATTTCACACTCGTCAAATCAAATAATTCTTTTGTAAAATGATAATATTCTTCTTGTTCAGTTTATCCTCAAACATTGTAAGCAGTCAATATCTACAAAGAAGTGACTTACCTGACAGTAAGGTACATGGGTCTGATGGCAAACAGTGGGAAGGTGTGCACTTTAATCATGATGATCATGAAGGCCATGTATAGCAGGACCTTCACAAACCCTGTCAGTACAAAGCAACACGGACTGAGTCAGTACAAGTCAATATAACATAAGTGGATAAATAACTACATGCATCTTTATGTTTATCTTTATAAACTAGGCCATTGACTCTTCACTACCCTTGGCAGACTTACACTACTGTTTCTGGTTTATTATCAATGTCTAACTTTTCAATTGACTAAGGGACCACTACTCTTTTACATGTCACAGAGAGCACAAGCCATGTAGGTGGTTGCTAGAAGACTACAGCCATATCCATGCTAATAATCATACCCACCCATGGTCAGTTCAGTATATAAGAGGTAGACTGCCTTGTTGTCCCATGGGTTCTCACTCTGTAGGTCGATGGTGTGTAGAATGTACTTCACAAAGGTGGTGATTACCATGGTGAGCAGGATGGCGTACTGTGGGGATACACAGGAGATAATGAAACTCTGTGATTTCTATGAACATGTCATAGGTGCATCTTATAATTAGCAGTGATCCCACACGAGATTGAGCTTTGATTGATGGTGATTGGACTTAGTAATGTCTCTCAACAGATCTGAAATACAACAACTTGCTACAAATGTTGGTGATTGTCACGTGATTTCAACAGCTGCACCTGTAGATGAAGTATTGACAATAATGGTGGTACTAACCCATTCTTACAATAATCCAATCAGAAACTACCACCTGATTAGGATCTTTTGGAAAGATCAAAGCCATAGTACATATACCTCTAAAAGATTATGACTTCACTAACAATACATGGCAGCTGGGGCATTCAGATATCCAGACAGCAAGTATCATCATAATCATCATCTTATGTACTGCTTAGCCCGATTTGCATTGGATTACTAGCAGCTAAAGTATTGTACTGGTTGAATTCAAATTCCAACTATGATGCTGTTAAAGGGAAAATGCACTACCACTAAGCTGCTGAAACTCCCACTCACTGACTAACAACCCGTCAACCATGACATACCTCAAACCCAAAGACAAGCTGCACAGTGGCTCCTCTGATAAGTGTACTGTGGTAGGCATGGCTGATAAACATGGCATCCAGGCATCCAAGCACAAGAAGTAATGCTAAAAAGGGGAAAATAAAATCCATTAGAACATAGGTAACAACTAGAAAGGCCAATATTTGCTTTGGAGCAAATATAGCGATGGGTTCACCACATTTTACCACATGGCAGGGAAAGAATGAGAAACACAAGGGAAAACAATGCTTTACATTGATATAACTATAGTATGAAGTAACATACAACTAAGACTACAACAGTTGGATAGCTATTCCCTACATTATTGGTTAGGATTGCATAATGCAAACTGTTGATTTTCAAGATAAAAGAAGCGTTCATAGCCCGCATTCCAATGCTGGAGCAGGAAAGCTTAAAATACCTACCAAAACACTTGAATACAGACATACT